AATAAAAATGAAAGGGAGAAGAAGAAGAAGAAGAAGAAGAAAATAAGAACAAAGGGAGAAAGGAAACAACGTGAAACATATAATTGATAGGAAGGAAGAGGGGAGAGTTAGGAGAAGATGAGAAGATATTTGCTGATTTTGTTTCTGTGTCCATATATATAGATAAAATATATTTGACAGAAATTTTGTCGATTATATTTTAAAATGGTTGTTGATTATATTTCAAATTATATTAACCACGAAATTTAACTTTTTTTTGAGTGGGGATGGTAGTATGGTGTTATAATTGATAGCCATAATGGCTATCGATTATAGAGGTATAATTGATAGCCATAGTGGTTATCGATTGTGTCAAAATTATATATATATATATGTTTAACACTCCACTATTAGTATCTATATATGGACAATGATATACATACACTTTCCTGTGACACACCTCACCACACACTCATGGTTTTCATTATGCATACTAACAGTCTCCGTAACGCACGTAGCCGCTAAACCTATTCATCTTCTTCAACTCTAGAAACTGTTGGGTTTCTTGATCTTGCTACCATTTATGTAAGAAGCAAACATTCAACCCAAAAAAGTGTTACAAAGAATCAAAAAGACATTTCCAGCAACTTACAAGAAATACAAAAAAAAAAAAGCAAAATAAAATAAAAAAATTTTGTTTGAAATTAAATGTCTCTGATTCTCCATCAAATATCTCTGGTTAGAGTCGCCTCCAATTTCTCTTCACTACACCCTATTCGCCCACTATTGTTGAAGTGGAGAAATTTTCTCATACGAAAACTGCTTCCATCCCCACCTTTGACCTTGTCGCCTGCCGGGCTTTCTTCGCCTTGCATGGCCTTGGTGTCCAAGCACTCGCAATTGAGGTTGAGGATGCTGATGTTGCCTTTGCCACTAGTGTTGCCCACGGCACAAAGCCATCTTCCTCCTCAATTATGCTCGGCAATCATGTTGTTATAGCTGAAGTCCATCTCTATGGTGATGTCGTGTTGCGCTACATTAGCTATAAAAACTCAGCACATAGGTTCTCCTTGAGAACCCAGAAGAGGTTCTCCAGGGAGAACCCAAAGAACCCAGATCTGGGTTCTTCTTCAATAGATTAAGGAAGGGGGAAAAGAAGGAAGAAGAGGGGAGAAGAGGGAAAGAAGAAGAAAAAGAAAGGAGGAGGAGGGAACAGATCTACAAATGGAGAACTCAAAAGCAAAGAGAGGGAGAAAGGAGAGCAGAGAAAGCAATAGGGCTAGGCTGGTAGTAACAGAGAGAGACGGATTAAGTAACGGACAATGAATTGGTGTGACAGAGTGTGTAATGCAGAGGGTAAACATATTATTGTCCTTAAATATTACATATCTCATATATCATAAATGTAATAATAAAAATTTAACACTATTAAATGTAAAATTATTTTTAGCTAATATTATATATATCTACTTTGATTAAATTATCAATTATAACGCTATATATTTATATTTAATTAGTCATTATATATACACAAAATATATATATAATATTAATTAAAAATAATATCACATTTGATAGTGTTAAATTTTCATTATCAAATTTATGATTTATAAGATATTTAATATTTATAAATACTATTAGTGGAAAGTTAAATATTAATATATGAAAATAGTACTTATCCATCTTACCTCCTAAAGATTAGGAGGAATATTATTCCAAAACTAAGTCATTTTAATAAACACTTATTGAAAAAAATTAAAATATCATATTTTTGAAGTATGAGTTAGGGTGTTTTTTTTCTTTTTCCCTCTTAATTTTGTAGAGGTAAGGCAGACAACCATTAACCTTTTAATATATATATATATATATACTTACAAAATTTTGACATAATCGACAACTACTACGGTTGTTGACTATTAGTAGCTGTTGATTATAGGGTATAAATTAGTACCCACAAAAGTTAGTTTCTTTGGGTGGAGATTATGTTTGGACAGACTACCAACAAAAAGAAATTAAAAAAAAAAAGAGGGATTAATTTGTTGGTAGAAGAATTAAGGTGTGGTTTGTGCAATAAGGAGGAAGAGGAGTGTAATCATTTATTTTGTTCATGTGATGAAGCCTGGTTAATTTGTGTTCAGGTGATGTCTTGGTGGGGTATGTAGGTTGTGATGCCCAATATAGTGGGAGGGGTGATGGAGTTTTTCTTGTATGAGTTGGGAGGTATGGTAGGGAGGGAGCAAGGGCCTTGTCTTTTCCTTGTTGGGTCTTGGTATATTTGGTATTGGAGGAACATTAGAGTTTTCCAGAACAAAAGGGGAGTGTAGGGATGGTTTGCTCCATATGATTTAGTCCAAAACGTTTTTATGGATTAAAAATAAGGTGGCTGGAAGTGTCTTCTTGATAGTTGATTGGAAACTTAATCCACTGGAATGTGCTGCTGCCATAAGGAAGCATAGAAGCCTACTGAGGGTGTTCCATAAGCGCAAAAATGGAGAGCATGCTGAGTAGTGTGACTGGAATGTTTTGGTTTACATGTTTCTTGGGAATACTTTATTTTAGTTAGACTATTTTAATAGTTTGTATTTGGGTTGGAGTACCCCTTGTACTCTGTATAATCAAATCTCATTTATTTTGTTGATAAAAAAAAAAAAAGTAGCTGTTGATTATAGGGTATAATAGATAGAATTGGTTGTCGATTATAAAAGACTATGGTTATCAATTATACCGATATAATCGTCAAATTATCATAATCGACATAATCAACAAAATTTTTTTCAATTATATGAATATAATCAATAGCTTTTTGGCTATCGATTAAATGTTGTTTTTTAGTAGTAACTCAATAATAATATGGTAATTGAAACTCAATAATGAAAATTAAAATTTTAATTAAAAGTTAATATACATTAATAATAATATTGATAATTCTACACAAAAATTAATTATCAATTACATAAATCAATATATCTATATATGAAAAATTTACATTCATAAAAAAAAAAAAAGAAGAAGAAGAAAGAAAGAAAATTTACAAATGAAAAAGAAGAAAATAGATTTAAAATGGTATCCATTCTTCCACCTACAAAAAAAAAATAAAGTAATTAAAAAAATAAGAAAAAATGAAAAACATCTTAAAATCACACAAAGAAACACTAAGAAAATTAAAGTATAATCACATACGAGTATAATCACATACCATATATCGTGTTAAGACATCTCCCTTACAAAAACACAAGAAACAAAATAAAAATAATATTTCAAATTAACCATTATATAATATAATACAAACTAATAGCATGAAAATGGAAAAAATGGTACAAAGTCATTTACTTTATATAAAAGATTCTCCCAATATATAAACCTATAACAAGAATGAAAAAATTAGTTTAAGTATAAATTAAAACTCTAAATTAGTAGAATTATACAAAATATTAAAAAAATTATAATAAAATAGAAGAATTTATAGGTTAGAGAATATACCATTGGATTGTGACAAAAATTTCATGAGAATGAAATTGGTCTATGAAAAATAAGAAGAGTAAGAAACTGGGAAAATGAGAAGAGAATAGGAAGAAAAAAGAAATGAATTTGAAGAAGAAGAAGAAGAAGAGAAATGACCTAATGGCAGGAAAACTACTATGGTTGATTTATATATAGAAACATTTGCATCAGTCAATATTATTTGCTTCAACATTATTAATACAAACAATAATTTAGTTAAAAGTGGTGGGAAGACTTGGCAGGATTTGAAATTTTTTGAAAATTTCATATCAATGTTAGTATCAGTATTGAGTTGCTAACTTAAAAATTTAAGAAAAATCTGACCATAAGATTTATGACTCAAAAAATGTGTATATATAGACAAATTCAAAGGATTAACTAATGGAATTATTTAAAAAGTACAATTTCGTAATTGAGGGACTAAAAAAATGTATAAAAAAATTATGAGATGAAAATTATATAAAATTCTAAAGTTAAGGGACCAAAATTAACATTTAACTTAAAATTTTTTATAAGACAAACTATACCTTCTAGGAATTTCAAATGTCAAATGTGCTTGATCTTAAATCTAAAAGGGAAAAAAAGAAAAAAAAAAGAAGAGAGAAAGTCAAATGTGGGATATTAGACATTTAGATTTGCAAAAAAATTTAAAAACTTTTAAAAGAACGATCGTCTTGCTCTTTTGTCTCTTTTGTAGAGACTAGCTATTTGGATTTACAATTTCAAAGAAAAGAAAAATGACAAAGAGTTAGATATGATATGTATAACATGCCAATTTGGTAAAAAAAAATTAAAAATCTTTTGAAGGAATAATTTTCTTACTCTTTTTTCTCTTTTGTGGAGACTAAAAACTTAGATTTACAAATTCAAAGAAAAAAAAAATAAGACAAAGAGTTGGATCTGCCATGCATAACATGCAAATTTAATAAAAATTAAAAAAACTTTTAAAGAGATTATTTCTTTTACCTTTTTGTCTCCTCTATGGAATTGAATTTTAATGAATGTAGTTGAAATTTAAGATAAATAGTGGTCTCCTGTTGCTTTTGTGAAAGAGAAAGGATGAGAAGTAAACAAAAGCTTTAAAAAAATACAAGGCAAAACAAACCAGATCTGTATTTTGAAGGCAACAACAATTATTTGTATCAACACAAGTTTTGATGCAAATAGTAAAGAATTATTGACACCCACTCTATTGAAACATGTTTGAAGCATAGAGTATAATAAAATAATACCTTATCTATTTACAAATAGTAAAAAACTATTCATCCAGTTATTTTTTTAATTACTTTTAGGTTAAATGCTAAATTTAGTCCCTCAACTTTAACAAATGCACATTTTTGATCCCTCAACAAGTTTTTACATTTTTTTATCCCTCGACTCTAAAAATTGCACAGTTTTGGTCTCTCCGTCAGTTAAGTATGATGTGGTAGTTAAATAATTTCATGTGGCATTATCTTTTAATTTTTTGATGATGTGGCAATAATATATATTTTAATTATGTTATATAAATAAAAAAATAACACGTAAATTAATATTTATAGTTTAAATAAAAACAAATAAAATTACCTGACTACCCTCACCCACCCAATCCCTCTTCTTCCCCTTCTTTCTTTCTCTTTCTTTCTTTCCTGCCTTGGGTCTCCACTTTCGATGGCTGCGACGAACCCAGCTTGCTGGGTCTCGTTGGAACCCAGCCTGCTGGGTCTCGTCGAAACCCAACAAGGGAGACCCAGCCAGGCTCGAACCCAGCAGATCTGGGTCTCGTCGAACCCAGCCTGGCTGGGTCTCCCTTGCTGGGTTCCGATGAGACCCAGTAGGCTGGGTTCATCCCCGAACCCAGCAAGGCTGGGTTCCGATGAAGCCAGTTTTGCTGTTTTGATGATGGATTCATGTTTTTTCATTCTTCTTTCGATTTTCATTTCCAGTTGTTAATAAATTTGAGAGTTGATTTACAATTTGATTGTATTTTTGCTGGAATTTGATTGGAGTTTGATTGATATTGTTTGATTAATAAATTTGAGAGTTTGATTGATTAGAGCATTTAGAGAAGAAGAAGAAATGGGTTAAGATTGATTCTGCAGATGGAGTGGAGAAACCCAGTAGCTGGGTTCAATTTCTCAAGTTCTCTTGAGAGAAGAGAAGAAGAAGAAATGGGTTAAGATCGGTTTTGTAAAAGAGTGGAGATGAGAGAGCATTTAGAGAAGAAGAAGAAATGGGTTAAGATTGATTCTACAGATGGAGTGGAGATTGATTCTGCAGATGGAGTGGGGATTGATTTTGCAGAGAGTGAAGATGAGAAAGAAAGATGACATGTCGCAAAAAAAAAGTCCAAATCAGTGTCTTTTTAAGTTATTTTTGCCATGTCATCAACAAAAAATATAAAAAAATGCCATGTGGCCAAGTTAACGGCGAAAATTGATAGAAGGACTAACAGAGTGCATTTTGTATAGTTGAGGGATAAAAAAAGTGCAAAAAATTATTGAAGGACCAAAAATATGCAACTCACTAAAGTTGGGAGACTAAATTTAGCATTTAACCTTACTTTTATAATTCGTCTAAAACTTTGACTGCAATGAATTGGGATGTGGCCAACTTTTGACCTTATTTGTGTCAACAATGCTTACACTAATAGTTTTAAGTTTTTTTTTTGAAAAGCCAATGAATTTTATTATGAGTACAAGGGGTACTCAAACCCATAAACATCAATACATGAGATTACATGTGGACATTGTGGTCAAAACAAAATCACCCACCAGTCCAAAAACGGATCCAGAAAACAGATACTCCCCACAATCCTCTATGTCCTGTTTGTCAAGCATCTCACTGGATTAGAAATCCATTCCATTAAGGAGAAATTTTCCAAATTCAACAGATTTCTAACCCAGTGAAATGAGCGTGCTTGAACTAATTCAAATAACCTATCCTCATTTAACTTCATATGTTGAAAAGCAGTTTCATTTCTGCTTAACCATAAAGACCAAACTACAGTAAACCATACCATGCCCCATCCCTTTTTTAGGCTCTTAGATCCCTTGTGCCATCTATGTTGGGTGAAAACATCAATACAAGTGTTCCCTAAGACATAATATAATCCCCACCAATTAAGACATTTTGTCTATAAATTGTCGGAGATGCTGCAATCTAGGAAAAGATGTTCTGTATCCTCAGGAAGTTTATCACACCAAAAGCATTTTATATTTTGATTAGCATCCAAAATTCCACGCTTTGCTAAATTAACCTTTGTAGGAATTCTATCTAAGAGTAGTTGCCATGAGAAAGCACTCACTTTTGGTGGTACTTGTGTCTCCCATATTTTTGTGTACTCCAGCAGCCTGTTTTCTTCTTTCTTTGCTAGCTGCTCATAGGCTGTCCTTGTGGTATATCTTCCCCCGGTCTCTAGACTCCAGCACCAAGTGTCCATTGCGCCTTGCACTAGTTTTTTGTGTTTTATTGTCTCCAGCAATTGTTGCAGATTTTCCTCTTCCAAGCTCTAAGTGGTCTTCTCCACTGGAATTTCCAATCCCAGCATCCTTCGTTCCACTGTCCCATTTGATGGATACTGCAATTCTTTTCTGTAGCCAACAAAAACAGCCTTGGGAAAACATTAGCCAGAGATAACCCTCCCACCCATGTGTCTAGCCAAAATCTCACATTTTTCCCTTCACCCAAATTCATATTGAAATTCAAAAGCAACCACCCATCCTTGCTATCTAAACCCGTATTTAATTTACAAATATCATTCCACCACGATGATCCTAAGACCCGATCCTTACTCAACCATGATACCCAATTTCCTTCCTTGCTACCATATTTTTCTAGCAGCACCCTCGCCCAAAGGCCCTTCTCGCCCCCTATTAATCTCGCCCACCATTTGCCTAGTAAGGCAATATTAAACCATCTAAGGTTTTTTACCCCCAGCCCTCCCTCTTTTTTTGTGCTGCATACCCTGTCCCAGGATACCCAAGCAATCTTTCTGCCTCCCTCAACCCCTCCCCACAAAAAATTCCTCCTAATTTTATCAAGTTCATGGATTACCTGTTTTGGGAGCAGATATACCGACATCAGGAACACTGGTAGGCTGGATAGCACAGAGTTTATGAGGGTAATTCGTCCACCGAGAGATAAAAATCTGCCTTTCCAAGCTGAGAGTTTTCTTCTTAATGTGTCTAATAGAGGTTTCCAGGTGGATATTCTCTTTGGGTTTGCCCCCAATGGCATGCCAAGGTACTTGCAAGGGAGGGATTCGGTTTTACAATTCAACATCCATGCCATGTTTCTGATCCAGTCTTCATCTGTGTTCACTCCAATTAAAGAGCTTTTTCTGTAGTTTATCTTCAACCCTGACACCAATTCAAATGCCCTCATTATGCATTTTGCTGTCCAAATGTTGTCTTCAGTCGCCTCTCCCATGAAAAGTGTGTCATCCGCGAACTGAAGATGGCTAACTTCTAACTCTCCATCTCCTATTCTGACTCCCCGGAAGTGTCCCTTTGCAACAGCTGCGGAAGTTAGTCCATTTAAAGCTTCTGCCACCATTAGGAATAGGAATGGGGATAATGGGTCGCCTTGTCGAAGCCCTCTTGTCATCAAGAACTCTTTGGTAGCACTTCCGTTGACTAAGACAAACACCGTGTTTGATTTTAAGCATTCCGCAATCCATCCCCTCCATACTATATCAAAACCCATTCTCTCCATCATGTAATCAAGGAAGGACCAGCACACCTTATCATAGGCTTTTTCAAAGTCGATTTTGAAAATAAAGCATCGGGATTTTCTTTTTCGTGCCCCGTCAATCGCCTCATTTGCAACAACCACTCCATCTACAAGTTGCCTTCCCTCAATAAAAGCAGATTGATTTTCTCCTATAATTGAGTTCAATGCTTTGCTGAGCCTATTTGCTAGCAGTTTGGCAAGAATTTTGTAAGTGCATCCAATTAAAGAGATGGGTCGATACTCCTCTACTCCTTGGGGATTCTCAGTCTTCGGAATCAAGATGAGAAAAGAAGCATTAGATCCCCTTACCAGTTTTCCATTGCTGTGAAAATCCTTGAGGAATTCCATGATATCTGCTTTGATCACCTCCCATTCGTTCTTTATAAAACCGAAAGTGAATCCGTCTGGCCCTGGTGCTTTGGTGCTGTCACAATTCCATACCGCTGTTTTGACTTCCTCCTCTGTAAAAGGTTCAGTGAGCATGCATCTATCTGCCTCTGAAATGGTTCTGAATTTGAGCCCCTCTAACTTCGGCCTTGTCCATCCCTCATCAGCAAATAAGTTCTGGAAATACTTCATTACACCCTGTTTTATATCTTCAACTTGCCTCAGCTCTTTGCCCCCTATGGAGATTACATTTATTTCATTTCTTCGCCATCTCCCTTTGATGCATTTGTGGAAGAAACTGGTATTAGCATCTCCTGTTTTCAGCCAGTTTTTCCTTGCTTTTTGTTGGGCCATCTCTTCTTTCAGTTGCATATTCTTTAATAGCTCAGTGTAGTGTGAGCTTCTAAGGAATAGATCTTCTTTTGTTAGGCTACAATTTTTTGCTTTTTCATCAATTCTGTTCATCTCCTCCCTGGATTCCTCAATCTTTCTATCCACTTCTTGTAATGAAGATTTTGACCAAACCCGAAGGAACTCTTTAGTCATTTTCAATTTTTCCTTCAAGATGAATCCACCCCGTCCTTGGACTGAAGTCTCTCTCCATTTTGCTGCAACCATCTCTGTAAATCCAGGGTTATGTAGCCAAGCATTAAAGAATTTGAATGGCTTTGGTCCCCAATTATGTGCTTCATTCTTTATCAGAATTGGGCTGTGATCTGACAGAGATCTGTGGAGACCCCATTGCTTCAAATCTGGCCATTTCGTTAACCATTCATCATTAAACAAGAACCTGTCCAAGCGACTCATACATTGACCATTCGGTTGATACCACGTATACTTCCTTCCCAGCAGAGGTAAATCCATCAAGCCACTATTCGAAATAAATTCTTCAAAACCCATTATTTCTCTCCTTGCACTCCTTCCTCCCTTCCTTTCTTGTGGACATCTAATGGCATTAAAATCCCCCCCTATGCACCAACATCCCCTGTTGTTCTTTATTATCTGTTGAAGTGATTCCCACAAAATTTTCTTTTTCTCCAGATCACACGGAGAGTATATATTACACAACATGCACGGGTGAGCATCAGGTCCCCATAATCCATGAATCCCCAGAAAGCCGTCACCTTCAAAAACATCTACTTTCTTGAAAATATCACTATTCCAGATTATGATTAACCCCCCGGAAGCTCCCAAAGATGGTTTTGCCACCCACCCCATATTGTCTGAGTCCCATAATTTTCTACATAATTGTTTGTCAACTATTTCCATTTTTGTTTCTTGCAAAAACAAAATCTCAACTTTGTGCCTCATCACCAATTCCCGAACCTCCCTCTTCTTCCCCACCCCTCCTAGGCCTCTAATGTTTAAAGATAACAAAATCATGGAACCTTAGCGAACACCTGATTTCCAGTCAAAGTGCTTACCGTGTCCTTCTTTCTTCTTGCTCTGTCCCTCTGCTCCATTTCTTCTAGCTTTCGCACCACCGGTATCTCATTCCCTTCTGTCGATACTCCCAATTCCTTGATGCGTCTCCATATAGCTTCTGTGCCTCTACTGCTATTCTTCAACTCAATGCTCTTGTTGCAATTCTGGATATTGCTGTCGTCTATTGAGTCGTCTGCTATCAGATCTGCTGAGTTTGCTTCGAAGGCCACCTCCTGCTCCATTTTTTCCGTCACCAGCCTTTTCCCTTTCTTTTTTTTCTGCAGCCGAGTGCCTCTGAGTCCGCCTGATTGTATATACACAGATCTACAAGTCTTTACTCTTCTTTTCTGTCCTGGTTTCTTCTTTCCCTCTCCTTTTCTTGTCCAATTCGGCATCCCCTCTGAGTTACACCCCTCTGAATTGCTGTCAAGGTCTTTCCAGAAGCTGTTTACTTCTTCACTCCTCACGAGACTTGGCTTGGTAGTCTTCTTTTTGTTGAGCTTACCCAATGTTAATGGGTTTGATACATCATGAGTTGGCCCATTCTTCTGTAGCCCATTCATCCCTTGCTCTGATGTTTTTTCCTTTGTTGGCCCAACCGGCCCATTTGGTACTCCCATCTGCTCCATCGTGCTGCTTTTTGTGCTGCACTCTATGTTATTTTCCCCTGAAACCTCGACCGTTGCTCCCAATTTGAAAGTCCCGCTGTTACCTTCCTTTTCTTTGTTGGCTTTCGAATCTGTTCCCATCCCTCTCACATCCCCCTCGAGCCCATCAAGCATTAAATGCTTTCCCGTTGAACCTTCTTTCCTGCCCATTGCCCTCTCCTTTGGCCTTTCAAACAGTCTGACCATTCCTTCTGTTGCAGAAGCTTCATCTTCTGTCATTTCAACTGTGCTCTTCTTTTTCTTCTTAATATTATTATTACTTCTAATGTGCTAACTCACCCACTCCGCGGCTGATGTGTCATCTGGTAAATGGTTCGCTGCTTCCGAAGCTCTCCCACCCTCTTCCACGTCTGTCTCCGGCACCCGCAATTCGGTTGCCATGTCATCGTCTTCTTCCTCGCCCCTGGTATGATCTGAGTCAAAATGTTGAGAACCATGGCCTGCTTCACTCTCCGAATCTTCTGTTGGCCATTCTTCTTCACTTTTGTATTCACCTTTTATTTTAAAGTCTGTGTTCATTATATACAGACTATTGCTTGCCTCCTCCTCTGAGAATTTGATTTTGTACACCACCCCATTAATCTTTATGGTTAGGTGCTTTGAGATGGATTCCATCATAGGAGTTGCAATGAGGAATCTAGCAACATCAAGGCGTTTTTTCTGGCTAGTGCTATCATCCACAGAGATGAATGTACCCCAAAGATTTCCAAAAGATTGGAAATATTCCGGTTTCCATGCATGTAAAGGTAGACCCAAACACCTAATCCATGCAAACCTTTCTGTAGCCACCATCGTCGGGGTCCATGGTTTGATTTCCTCAAACCACTGTCCTAGCCACTCTTTGTAATTTTCTACCAGCTCTTTCAAATCTTCTATCTCATGTCCTTCCATCAAGACTAATCTGCCTCCCATTGCTCTGATTTTGCAGAAGAAGATTCCCTCCATAAAGAATTTTTCTTGCAGAGTTGGTATCATTGTGACCGAGTGAGCTATTCCTACATAGCAATTTTGCAACCATTCATACTCATTCTGACTGACATTAAACTCCATTCCTGACCATTCTTGGTGTTGCTGTTTTGGCTTCCATCTCCATTTTCTTTGTTCACTCGTCCTGGCATTGTTGGATTGCTCTCTGTTACTTGTACCATGATATTGCTTCGTTTCTTGTCCCCGACCCTGTTTTTCTGCCATTCTTCCTTTTACTACCTCGGCATAAGATAGTTTCGGGTGGGTTTCTGCCTTTGATGTAGCCACCCCTTTAGCTGTCCCATTCATCCTGTTTCCCCTGTTCATTTGTTGTTGACCTTCATTCCCTGTCTTCTTGAACCTGGGTTTGTTGGCTTGAAGTTTAAAGCCCCCAATATGAACTTGGTTTAGCTTTCTTTCCAGCTCTCTGTCATCTCTGACCTCCAGGAATCTAACAAAACCAAATCTCCTTCCCAAGCGATCTCTCTTTTTCGGACAATCAATTTCTATTACCCTTCCCTCTCCCAGTCTGTTGAAAGTTCCCCACATCTCTTCAAAGGACCAGTCTTCGGGGAAATTTGTGAAAAAGAAAGGTATTGCTTGGTTGTATATCCTCTTCTCAAATCCCCCATAATGTTCCGTCGGACAGTTCCTGCTCTCTAGCTGAATTCCCTCACATCGCTGTGCTATCCTCCTTCCTCGTTCTCTGTTGTCAGTCACCCTCTCCGGTGCTCTCTCTCTCTCTAACGCTCTCCCTCTCATCTCTAACGATCCTATGACTAATCTGCACTTAAGACTTACTAATAGTTTTAAGTTGACACTAAAAAATTTTG